CGGAAGAGCTTGTGTTGTGTGTCTTTATAAAGCCTGAATTCAAGGAGGGTAATCATTGTAAGAGTTAAATTTTCTCACTTTTCGGCAGTTTCCTTGGTCTCCTCCTCGGCTTTTGGTTGTTCCTTATCTGGTTCAGCCTTTGTTTTAGCAGCGGTTTGAGCAGCCACCTCAGCAGCAAAGTCCTGACTTTTCTTCTCCAGACCTTCTCCAAGGTTGTACCTTACGAATCTCTTCACCTTGATGTTTTCTCCCACGGTTGCAATTGTCTGCTTCACCCAATCCTTCACTATCACCTTATCGTTCTTAATGTAGGGCTGCTCGAGCAATGCTAGTGTCTCTAGCCTCTTCTTTATCCGACCTTCGACTATCTTCTCCCTTATCTGCTCGGGTTTTGACAACAGGTCTTCTTTTTGCATCTCTATCTCTTTTTCTTTGTTAACAATTTCTTCTGGAACATCTTCTGTGACGAGGTACTCCACTTGAGGGCAAGCAGCCACCTACATGTCAGGTATAGTATTAGCGTTTTCCATTAGCGTAAAATGAGTGACTGAGAAGCAAATTGTACATTATACGATAGACGGAAGCTTCATATAGCTCTTGTTCATCCATTTTATGGAAGAAATGAAGAGGAAATTAGCGAAGATTCGAGTACCTGCATTGCAAGATCATCAACAAGCTCCTTGAAAATTTCACCACGTGAGACAAAATCTGTCTCGCAATTGACCTCCAAGAGGATACCGATTCTGCTGTCATGGATATAAGAACTGATTCTTCCCTCGGCCGTGGCCCTGCTGGCTTTCTTCTCTGCACCAGCTAGACCCTTCTTGCGGAGGAACTCCTGAGCTTTGACCATATCGCCCCCAGTCTCTGATAGAGCTTTCTTGCAATCCATCATACCTGCCCCTGTTTCTTCTCTAAGCTGCTTCACCAGAGCTGGTGATATGCTTGCTGTGAAGAGAAAAACATCAGATGAAAAATATAGAAGGTATACAATACATGATCAGATGCATGCAAAGGTGCTTGATGAGCATATACAAATAGGAACATCATAAAAAAAACTACAGTTCATGCCCGAGACAGAATGGAAATTTGTGATACATCATTTGGGGCATAAGAAGGACCTTTGATGCTTTCACCAGGGGAACCACCATCTGCATCGGCAGCATTGCTATTTTCCTGAGAAGAAGCTTCTGCTTCTAGAGGAACTGGTGCTTCAGCAACCACTTCCGATTTCTCAACCTCTTCACTTGCTGGAGTTTCTGAAGGTGAAACTTCATCAGTAGTTGAATTTGGAAGTGTAGAGTTCTCCTCTTCATCTGTTCTAAGGGAGAAGAGAAAGTCATTGCAATGCATTAAAGAAGAATGACTCAGTTCCATATCCATGGCAATCTCCCTCTCTATTTTTTTTTTTTTTTTTTTTTTTTTTTTTTGAAGATCTAGTCACTCATAAAATGGACGACCGCTCACTTCCCGAGTTTTTCGATGCAAAACGGATCTTTCCTCGCACTCGTGTTGTATTTGATCGAAGAGGTTGTTACGAGGGAATTTTGGTTTTTTTTTTTTTGCTTCTTGAAGATCTTACTGTACGAATTTAGAAGACTCATTAGCATGAAAACTTTTAAGGAAAGACAAGTCGCATACCCTTGGTTTCTAGAACGGGAGGGACATCGGGTTTTGCCTCCGAGCTAATGACACTTCCATTGTCATCTGGAATTTTCTCCGGCTCTTCGGTTTCAGCTGCTGTAATGCCTGTTTCACCATGCACTTCTTCTTTGTCCGAGGAACCTTCAGCTGCTGGCACGAGTGTTTCTGTTTGCACTTCTCTAGCTGAGGAATCATCTTCAGAGTTGGCCTCCACAACTTCTTCCTCCTTTGCAGTTTCTGATGAGAGAATCTGTTCCTTATCGGCTTCTTCAGTAGCCGGAACGAGTGTTTCTGTTTGCACTTCTTCTTTTGGAGTTTCTGATAACAGAATCTGTTCAATGGTTCCTTCAGATGAACCAAATGCCTTATCAGATTCTTCAGTTCCAGGTCCAGCTAATGATTCGTCGATATCATTTGAAGTGACAGCGTCCTTAACCACGTCTGATTCAGTCAGAACCTCTACTGTTTTCTCAGCAGCTTCCTTCTCAGCCTCTTCCTCCCGTTTGTCCAGAAAAGTGGCTATGTCCTTATTTTTACGGAATGCAACCAGAAACGGGTTTGTTGCGGTATAAACAACCCCTTGACTGAGTGTTTCATCGAATTTATCGTCGTTTTCATTCTTCATCGTTAAAGTGACCTGCCCTCTTGATATCCGCAACACACGTACACTAACCTCTTGTCCAGCTTGAAGTGAAGAGCTACCCATCATGCTTCCAAGCCCATCATCCGCTTCTTCAGCAGTGGGAAGAAAACCTTCTTCACCCTCGGGGAGTGATATAAAAGCTCCTGACCTCGTTAAGTTCTTCACTGTCCCTTCCAACATCTGCCCCTTCACAAACTTTGAAGTTTTCACATCTTCCTTCTTCCTCATCGGTTTTGAACCATTTTTTCTCGGGGGTCTTGGCTTTTCACTACCGGACTGGCGTTTAGGGGAGTCATCGTTTTCGCGCATGCTAAGGGAAATACGCCCAGCCTCGAAATTAGCTTCCACCAATCTTACTTTCACCTCTTGACCGATGGAGACAACACTTGAAACATCCTTAACAAAAGTGTCACTCAGCTGTGAGACATGGACTAGACCGTCAGTGAAGGCTCCAAAATCGACGAAAGCACCAAAGGGCTGGATTGCTCGTACTTTCCCGGTAAAGGTAGAACCGGGCACCAGCTCTTCATTCTTAACTGGCGGCATTTCACTCTTCCTACCAGGTCGAGTTCTCCTTGACTGAGATGCCACAAAAGCTGCTTCTGTCTTTTCATTTGCTTCAACCACATTCGTTTGATCTGAGTCTCCTCCCGAGTTTTCAGCAGCAGCAGATGAATCCTCCTGTTCCTCTACAGCTGCATCAGTCTCGGTAGCTGGCAATGCTGAGATTCTATCCCGAGGAAGCAACAACACATACTGCCTTGAAAATGCTGGAAACAATCTAAGCGAGGTTGATAGAGGCAGGACAAATCTTTGCGAGGACAGAAGATGTTTTCCAGGTTTACCCGAGAATCCATGTTTGCCGGAACAATTGCTCTTCTTCAAAGAAAAGGTGGCCCCGGGAATGAGAGAAACATTGGTAATAGAAGAAGGGATAACAGAATTCATCTCGGGTAGATCTCACCGAAAACTTCCAGCAGCAGTTACAACAACTTCTTCATTCCTATTGGCACCCGCATGAAACATAAAACAAGGCAAACTACTAACTTCCTTGGTGTAGAACATCAAAGTAAGTTTGATTAAAAACAAAAACATAACATCCAATCAGATCCAAATTCATGTGAATACCACTACTTTTAGATGGAAGAACTCATAGAACAAGCCGATAGCAACCCCGCATTATCAAACACATTCAAGTTTTGCTGTCTGATTTAAGACAAAACATTCTCGACCAGGTTCTTGGAACACTGACCAAAACAACTTGACATTATGAATGAAGTTCAACTGAATGATACAGATTCAAGAAAGCAAATAAATAACCAAAATCCCAAATCTTATCCACTTCAAAACGATACGCCAACAAACAAGAAAGAACCTTCGCAGCAAACTCCTGGATTCTGAGTTCAATAACCGAGTTGCCGGAGTTTCCTAGCAATGCAACTAAAAAACTCGAAATTCACAAGGTCAAAAAAAAAAAACTCGAAATTTACAACAATCTTCTCGAGAAAACGTTTCAACGAATTCACAGTCACTATGGTAAAACCGGAAACTAACAAGAACCAAGTCAGAATTAACAAAAACCCATCACCGGAAAAAGATGAACTCACAGAAAAAAAACACAAGGAAAGCATCCATTTGATGACAACACAACCCCTGTAAAAGAACTACCTCGTCGTGCTCTGAGAAATTCTCCAAGGAAACGAAGACAGAAACCTCCGGAGCCCAAACAAGAGAAAAACTTTATCCGCCTCGATTTCTTCCTTCGAAATAGGCAAAGAAAAACCAGAAGCGGAATAGGAGAACGAGAGGTGGGGCTTGAAATCCTTATCTTATTCCGCCACTGATTTTGCACTCTGCTCTTATTTGTTTTCCCTCTCGTTCGTGGATAGAATCTTCGAAAACTACAGACAACGCCTCGGCTCGGCTCGGCTCAAGCTGAAAGGACGCCAGAAATGGGCCTAACGGCTCTAATTTAGGCCCACAATAACACATGGGCCTCAATTATGCATTAGTTTAGGCCCAACATATAAATGGGTCTACAGTAACATTCAGTTATCCAAAATTTGAGGCCTAATTATATTAATTAAGCATAAAAAATTTCACTGTGATTCGAGTGGAGAGTATAGTATTAATTTCACTTTTCTAAGATTTTTTTTAAATGTAAAAAACAGAAAGACAAAAGTGGAGAGCATAGTATTAATTTAATTGTAATTTTTTTTCTATTATTATTATTATACCGTCTATTAATGGAAGGGGAAGCTTCCTCGACGTCTATGATTTTATATAATCCTCGCCACGTGCGCCGGACAATGACGATCCAATTATTTAATTCATAGCCCTAATCAAATTCACAATCAATGTCTATCTTACCACTTACATATACATATACATCTATGATATATATATGATCTATATATCCGTCTCTATATACATATGTGCTTATATATATAAGCATACAGTGGATTTGGTTAAGAAGCAATGCGAACCACGCATATTGTGCTAGACTTCAAGTGATTTTTTTTTCTCCAAATTAATTAATTACATGATTCGGACGCTAAGGTCCATGCCATGCATGTTTAGCTTTACTGACTTCATCGGTATTAAGGTAACTTTCTTTAACATAATAATTCCACACCTTTTTCAAAAAGATGAGACAAATTGAAAAAGAAAATGTAAATATAATAACTTTTTTTTGTTTGCCGGTTTAAACTATTGAAATTAATAATTATGAAAAGTCACTTTCGGGGGGTTTAAACTTTATTATAAGATGCTCCTATCGGTTGAAATGAGAGGTGTGGTACGTTAATTTGTACGACTCACAAACATTTTGCATGTAAATAATTTAATTAGATTTGTAGCTAATATATATATATATATATATATATATATATATATATGTGAGTGTGTGTGTGTGTATGTGTAATGAATATGGAACATATATGGTCTAAACACTATTTATTGCTATTTAATTGTACCTATATTAATTTATATTTAGTGGCATGCTTCAAGAAACAATGAGAAACCCTCAAAGGCATGCTTCAATATGAAGCCTAGACAAAGAGAAAGAATCCAAGATCGGTAACTTATCACATTCCCTTGAATGTCTCCTATGATGTGACCCAATTCCATATATAATATGTTCAAATTACACAAAATCCTAGACATGTGATTTTAGATTCATTTCCCCCGCCGTTAAGCATTTTGTAATTTAACAAACATAAGTTATTACATATACATACATATTATATATATATATATATATATATATATGAAGAACTACTATTTTTGTAAAAAAAAAGTATTTTGAACCATATAAATTATAATGGAAAGATAGTTTTTAAACTTACGGTAAACTTTTTTTTTGATAATTATATTAGTTCACTAGATCTTTGGCCCAATTACATTCATCTCAAGTACTACAATTAAATTGTATCATCCATCCTCAACAACCGCTCGATATAAAGAGATATGGAGAAGATTTAAGATATGAGATAAGGACAATCCTTCTCCAGATACAACCGTTGGTCTATTCCGACTGGGTATCTTTCTTCTTCAACCTATATCTAACGGATCAAAATCTTAATTAATAAAATAATTTCACCCCACGTGAATAGAAAATATACTCATAATCCGTTCTTCGACCAAAGAAGCTTCCTCAACTTGATTGCATGATCAAGATCATCAAATAACTAATCCCATTAATATCACCATCATATGTACACGACCTAATATCATATAATAGAAACTTGTAATTTATATTAAATTTGAATTATTATGCAGAACCTTAAAAATAATCCAACATGGTCACGGATCTATATCCAAGGATAGATCGCGCAAGAGACAGCTGGGGATGTTGGTCTAATTAATAATTACAATTTTGTATTTGTATTTTAAACTATCTCACACACACACACATATATATATATAGATATACTTGGAAGAGAGGGATGCAAAGAGGACCCAACATGCAATGCATTAATAGTGTTGCTCTCCGGGCTCTTAGGTATACTCTAAAGGCTGCTCCCGAGATATGAGGGGATGTAGGTTGGGCTGAATGGGCAGGTGAACCTCTCGGTTATAAAAAAAATTGATTAATTAAACTAATTGGTTTTGTCATTAGACGTTGATTAGTTCTTTTGTTGCAAATATCGACATTCCTATATTTCAAATATTGTATGTATTCGCATTATTAAATTACGAAGTGGGAAAATCAAATTTAAAAGCGAAATGTTTGACATAAACGAGCATCTGTCCACATGCGGCTTTGGGATTCAGGAAAGCTCATACTGCAGTTTCCGAGGTCTCCCCGTTCATTTGGACCGTCGAAATTCTTTATATTATGATATGATTACATTATCTTCCTGTTATAATTAAATTAATTTCGACCGTCGGAATTCTACGTTATCAAAAGTTGACCAAAACCCTTAAGCAAGCAAACCTTCTATCAAGGGATTTTGATAATTTGTGAAAAACATATGACTCTAATGTATATAATAATATGATTCTTGACACCACCATCAATGCAACCATATAGATCTTGTGACATAATAAATACAAAAAAAAAATACATGTCCACAAATATAACTTCTTCCAAAAATGACTACTTTTGCAATCGATGAGGTTTAAATTGTCTATGAATGTTTTTCTGCTTATTGTTAAGATGTTTATTTAAGCAACATCTCGATATTATTATATTTTAATATATGAAATTGCAAATAAATTAAATAGTTTGCTATAATGCACGTCCACGTTAGATTCTGTAGAAAATCATTAATATAACCAATACAAAGATAATTGTGCCAAAAACAATTGCATGTATGGAAATCTGCTTACATTATTTTATATGTTTAGTTATTGAAATTTGAACAGCTAGATGGTTCGGTCCATAATCATGCATGTGTTCATGAGACCAGAATCCTCCCTTTCATTAAATTATTGAAACATGCATGATTGATGAAGCCAATTGATATTTAGATATACCTTAGATATCTTATATTAATGTAACATTTTTTTTTCTTACGAGTAAGAAATCTACGTTGGTGGATAATTATTTTATTCCCCATGCAACCATATGTCTTATAGTTGGGTACACAAGTATACGAAAGCTTAATTAGTATAAACTGTTTTGTAAATGATATATTAAAAACAATAAAATTTAGTTTATTTGAATATGATGAAATTATTTCCACATGAATAAAATGAGAAGACCGTATATCAATCCGAGATCTCAATCAAAGTGGTATCTAGGGTTTATATATATATATATTTGTGCTAATCTTTTTTTATAGTTTAACTTTATCTATCTTGATTTTTTTTCTTTGTGTATTCTTGCGATATTTCATCTTTTTTTAAGAATTTTAACCACACTTCTAAAATCATCACTAGTTATCGGTTTGTGCACAAGAAAGAAATGAGATACGGATATCCAAGATAGACCAAAATCCACCATACAAAAAAATATATATAGACCAAGAAAATTTGGGAATAGATAAAACCATTTACAAATTATTATAATTTGTCAAATACCTTAGAATCTTAGATATCCATATCCTATTGCCAAAAAGAACGAAAATATATGTTCCAATTCCAATACTATTCTCATTTATTAAAGAATATTAGGTTATATATATATATATATATATATATATATGTGAATGTCTAGGTTTGAACTCAGGATCATATGGCTTTTAATTGCTCCACTTAACCATTTGTTCTGAGAACCTTAGACAAAGAATATTAGGTTTGTTAGAATATTAAATGTTTTATAATATTAAAGAATATAATGTTCATTATATATGGACCACAAATTTTAATTTGTAGGCTAACAGTTTAATCTATGTCGATTTTCTTAATGATGCATACAAAATTAAATCCTAATTTTTATATGGTTCTCCCGACATTTACGAGGGTATATTACTTTTAATACATCAAAATCTTTTACGTACAAAAGATAACATATATTTATTTATTTTTTTAAAAAAGATAAGGATTATAATATAGAATGGAATTTTAGGTTTGATTGGCTGTCGAGTTAAGTAGCAGGATCAAGGGGATTTGATTCGATAAATTTATAATTTTTTAAAAAATGAATAAAAGAGAGGAAAAAAAAGACAGATCAGTGTGAAATAATAATATCGGGGCAGGGGAATGCATGTGCACGTAATCTACAGTAGATATGGAATACTCTCTCCACTATGCTCTGTCTCTTTTGGTGTTTTGCCCTCTTAATTACTCTTAAGATCACATCTAATCTCAACATAATCCCTTGTTTTAATACAACTTCTCTGCCTCTTTTCCATAACCATTATTGCCATGAAACATTATTCTATTTGTCGACCCACGTATATATATATATATATGTATATCCATGTATCTTCGTGTACGTGTATGTGAATGTGTATTTGTATTTGTGCTTTTTCTTTGGGACCACCCGGATTAGATGGTTCGCATTTTCCTAAACATATGTGATTTACAACTGTATGTGTGTACATGCGTACACGCGGATTTATAATTAATAATTTGAAATAACAGAGACACATATTGTTATATGTCACATGGTTGCCATTTTTTTGTGACATGGTATATCTAGACATGCTTCATTTCTTAAATTCCATTCATTCGTAGGGTTCACTCAAATCATCATTTCTGCATGGATCGAAAAATTCATGAACATGTTTTTTACAAGAAACGTTGTTTCAAGAAATTATATATTGCATGCAAATGGCGATCGAACAATAAATATAATGCTTTTTTTTGTAATGGTAAATTCATTTAATCAAAATAATGCTTTTGTTTTCATTACTCGATGTGTACAAAATTTATTTTCAAACACGTTTAATTATGAAATTCATTTAAATGGACTTCCCAAAAGGAACATGCATCTTAGATTATTAGTGATATATTGTTCGACGAATATGTTTTAAATTATAGTTTCGATTCATAATATATATTTGGAAAATTTATATTTAATATCCATATTTATAAGCAAATTTCATGAATATGAATTACGCATCATTTTGTGAACACAACAATTCTAAAATATTTTAGTATTTAATATGAAAATATTGATGTTTAGCATTAATATTTTGTGTGTACGTAATCTGATATACGCATGCATGTCTTGTGTATATACTACGCAATTTGATACAGAGAGCTCTTATTTATTTTTTGTTTCCATTTCCTATTTCCGTTTTATTTGAATAAAAAAAATAAACATATACGATGTTCTGGTGAAGAAAATGTCATTAAAAAAAAAACAAATTAAGATGATCGCCATCGAACAGAAAAATAATGGATATATGTTAGCGTCATCGCTAAGAAAGAATATTCACTCCTCGGCATCTGACCTACCACGTGGCACACATCTGTTAGTCTGTCCTTTTCACGAAAGTAACCCCATAATTAAAAGTCTTTCTTTTAGAGTGTCTCTGTGTGTGTGTGTGTGTATATATATATATATATATATATATATATTTGAGTTATCAAGGTTTAGAGACGCGTTCAAGTATCACATGAATCACGACATTGGCTTAGAATAATCATTTTTTGTTGGACATAAAATATAAATTGCAAATACAATATGGATATCTAATATGTTTTTTATTGGAGCCGTAGCGTCGCGCTTCAAATATAAAATGATTAGACAAAAATTATGAAAGTTAAATAAGTAGAATTGCATGTTATAAAACCAATTAGTTATATATATTTATATAATTAGCTGGGAGATATATGCAGAAATATTAGTTATTTATGAACCCTAATTACTCTTCGGTTGAAGGCATCCGTTAATATATACAAAAACACTTATGTGTATGACTATCCTCTGAAACCCGGCCTGAGACAAAAAAAATAAACATAGAATCTTTGGTGTGATATAGACACATATTTGAAACTATAAATTGCTTTATATCATAATTCTGCAATTTTCGTGTCAGTATATGTAGACAATATCATCTAAAAATATGTTTGAAACTATAAACTTTCTCATTAGATCTCAAATATGATGGATAAAAACGTAAAATTTATGTCCATTAATATTGATTTTAATTTAAAGCAACCAATTATAAGACGATCTTAGTTGTTAATAATTAAATGAGTTTAGACCTTCTGTATTTTTTTACAGATACGAATTAAACTTAGAAAAAAAACTATATATATATATATATATATATATATATATATATAGAGAGAGAGAGAGAGAGAGAGAGAGAAAGATTGGAAAAGGGGTAAATGTAGTATGAACATGTTACAAAACTATACTTATTATTATAGCCTCAGACAAATAAAAAATTACATTTTTTTGGTAACGTATAAAAAACTACATTGTTATATTATTCGAAGTGTTTTATATATAAATAAGTATACATTGTATGAATAACGTGGAAAAGAGCCGTAGACAATGCTACCGCTTTATTTTTATTTCTATGACCATTTTGAGAGAAATATATACCACTAAATTAATATATAGCCGACAGAGTTTAGGGGTGCTTTGTTTTTTACCTCGAAAATCAAATATTCAATTGACTTTTTTTGCTACAGGAGAGATACGTAATAAAAACACATGTGTTAAATGCAATTATACGTACAGAACAAATCTATTAATGATTGGGCTAAAACATTATCATTGATTTCGAGGATATAATTTGGAAATAAATGGGATTATTTTCAAGATCATCAACATGTTTCCTTAATTTTACTTGGAGAGAGAGTTTACCTTTTAACCTAACTTGCAAATTATGAAGTGTTTATGTGTATATACATATAGTTCACGTTTTTTTTTTTATGTTTTCCGATTTTTTTATTGTACGAATATATATATTTTTATGAAATTTAAACTTATATTTTTAAAAAATATTTCTGTTATTTATGATAATAAAAACACATTTCTTACTAATTTATTAGCTTTGCAATTTATAACACCCCATTTCATACAACAGTGACGACAGATGTGGTTAATCATCACTATCATTTTATTTTCTTGACATATTTTGTGCAGGAATGCGATTAATGTTATATATGTATATATAAATTAATGATATCCTACGAGGAGAAGTAATAATAAATATAAAGATTATTGTAGATTATTAGACCTAAATAATTTACCCATTGAACAGCCGAGTCAAACCATGAATAACTACGTTAGGTGTCGAATATGATGCCCAAACTTTATCATGTAAGATTATTATTACTTTTAAAATAATAATATTTTAATTGCCCAACAAAGGGCATCTTATGAAGTTAAATTGAATACATGTTTTTTATTATGAACTTATTCGTCTCAAATGCATATATTGATAAAAACAATATATATATATATATATATATATATCAATCTTGTATGCATGAGATCATAGGTTCTTATCTTACAAATACGGATTTCTTGTTTTATTCGATGAATCAATTAAATATAAGCTAATTAATATAATACCATGTTTTGTTTATCTGATGTCAAAACTTTAAACCAAGGACAGAATCTCACAGATTTGATCAGTGGCATATTATGATTTCATGCCATAACTTTAAAACAAAGAAAGAGAAAATTTTCTGTCATTATAAGAATATATTAATTAATATAATTCTTGAAGGTTTAATTGGTAATTGGACGAGTTCACATGTCTGCATAAGAAATTGGTCTGACACTGCAAGCATAAACTAACTTATAATGTTTTTTTAATAAATGTAAAATTATGAGCCACAAATGATACGTGAAACAGCTCAATTTAAAATGGACACCTATCACCTCAATGTCCAATATTTTTTTAAAATATACTTTAAAGAGCCGTACGTAGATTATTTGCCCTGTTTAATATAAAGTTTTCATGTACAGATATTTACTAATTCTGTTAGAGCGTGAATCTTTTTTCGGTTGTCCTATCATTTTTTTTTTCCCATATGGTGTGCGAGTGAATTAGTAATTTCGGGGATACAAGTTTCAATTCGGGATACGTCGTATCACTCGACACAAGTTGTGAAATGAAAAATAAAATCTAATTATCTTATAAGTAAACATTTGAATTTTATAAAACCATTTATTCTATCTCTCACAAATTTTTTAGACAGCAAAATATCGTGTAAATAAATTACTTAATAAAAAATCGCTGAGACTAAAATTAATTTGGCTATGAAACTAAATCTACGTTGATAAAAACCTACGAATGTTATATATAGGAAGATATCTCCAAACGCTACAAAGAAGATTTAATGAATCTGTAATTTAAATGTGATTTTTGTGTAATGATATTATGTTATTAGAAGAAATAATAAATATATACATTTAACTCATTTTACGTTATTTTTACAGTTCGATTGCTTTCCCTTTCTTGATAAGTTTCGGATATAAAAAAATTTCTGAGAGTTATCCGGTATTTACATATTGCTATAAGATCTAACATTATATTTCAGCATTAATATTAATAATAAAACAAGAATATTACAAAAAGTTACGATACTTGGGTAAAGGAAACAAAAATATTAACTAGAATTTGTACATCTTTTTCAATATTCTCATTCAAATATTATATCAACCCGAATCTAAGGTACACTTTTTTTCTTCCAAATACCACGATAAGAAAAAGCAACGACCATAGGATACATATATATATATATATATATACTACACTACACATATATAGTGTAGAAATTGAAATATTATATATTGTATAACATGACCTATCCATTTAAATGGGTCAACTCGACCATAATAATGTAATCATCCCGATCCATATTTTTTTCCTTGGTTAGAGCAATCGAAGAAGATTGAAAAGTCCTGTTTTTTCGTGTTTGAAGTCATCCAAAACCGAGAAAAAAAAATCATTAAAACTAATTATTAGAATATTGAACAATCATTGTATTTAAGAAAATATATTACGAAAAAAATATATAAATAAAAAAAAGACTTCTGAATCAAAATAAGGGCATAAAATCTATGTAATGTATGTGTGCGCGTATCTATTGAAATCAGGACGCAATCTGATCCAGCGATGCAGTAGTTACTGAGCTTAAACAAATCATAATGAATTAAAAAAATAATTAATGAAAAGCGTTATAAAAAAGAGATCTCGCCATTAGAGATCTCTCTGATTCCTCAGCCAAACCCCAACTCCAACAACAGCAACAAGGACCACAACACCTCTTTCTCTCTCTAGAAGAACTCTCTTTCTCTCTCTCTAGTTCTTGTTTTTTTTTTCCTTTCAGAAAGCAAAGATTTGAAGGAGACAAAAAAACAAGAGGGGGGGTCATGGGAAGTAGTTTCTATGGGAGACCGAACGTGGGAGGATCTTCTTCGTCTTCGTCGTCGTCTGGGACGAGGAAAGGGAAGAAGAATGGTTCGGACAAGCCGAAGCAGCCGCAGAGAGGACTGGGCGTTGCTCAGTTGGAGAAGATCAGATTACACGGCGAGATGAGTTGCAACAGCTTCAACAGTTTCCCTTCTTTCCATCAATCTCCTTACCCTTCCTCTTTCAACCAGGTACATACATACGTACATATATGTGTATATATGTTCGTATTTTTCTTTTACACAACTTCTCTGCCGGGATGTTTAGATGATGATGATGATGATGATGATGACTAATTGAAAGTATTAATTCTTGTGAGAAACACAATATAATTCACGCTGAAAACGAATTGGTTTTGGTCGAAGATGTTAAACTTCAATCCGAAAATCTCTGTCTAAGATGAGATGTTTCAATCCGGTCAAAAACCCTTATGTTGATTTATTTTCCCTCAAATGGGTTCATGTTATTTCCGAACATCGCTATACAATCCTCATAAAGTTTCTATTTTTGTCCGAATCCGCATATATGAAATCCTCAAGCTTGAATTTCCCAAGTATAGGATGATTGCATATAGATGCATTTTATGTGTGATAATGTTTCGATCGATCTTTTTTTTGAGATTGGTTATGGATTTATATAGGATTTGAATGCCAACTTGAATATGGATGTTGCAGGAGGATGGAAGGATGCAAGGAGGATATTCCTCTGTGCCGCCATCATCATCATCATCACCATCTTTTTCATATGCATCATCATCGCCATCAACGGCTTATGGTTTCCATCCAAGCATGATGGTACGTACGTGGCCTTCAACGTTATCGATTTACGATCACATATCCATGCATACAGACTGCATTTAGAATCATTAAGTACCAAATATTTCTTTCTTACAACAAATGATGCACACATGATTGCTCTTGTATATATGCATATCTATGCGGATATAGAAGGATGTATCTTGATTCATAACATAATTTGATATAATCGTTCCTTTTCATTTCAACATACTCCCCCATAGTATGCAAATATCATCTATTTAATCTGTCCTTTCAGACTTTAATCTATCATTGTTTATATGCATTTTAAACATATTCTTTGTTTTTTTCACCAATCTATTTCACTTGACAGTTGTAAGACAAAACAAAAATGAATGATTAATTTTGATACGAAATTATGTAGGGAGTGAAATTCATTAATTAATTACTAAGATAGTTTTCATTTTTTCTGTTTGCTTTTATATGGTCTCTCACAGATGGGTTTAAGTGAATATGAAAGAGCATCCGTGAGGTACGGAGACTCTCAGCCTCATACAGCACCAAGGTCTGTGCACAAGTTCTTTCTATACATTGACACTCAATCTAACTTTAGGTTATTTATATTTATAAATGTATATATAGAAGTATGTTATATGTATATGATCGCGTATATATATATATATATATATAATATTTGGTGCAAAAACTAAAGTCGTTTGCTTAATGGGTTTTGTTCAAACAGTTGGAACCATGACTATGGCGTCTTAGAGAGCCAACACTTTGCGCAATCAAGCATCAGCAGACACTTCCTATTTGAGGTTCATACTCTATATATACACACACATGTATATATGTAAGAACAATAAGAATTCGGATTAAGGCTCCATTTGTAAATAAAAGAATCACACTTACATTTTTTATTATGATTATTTGCTTAATTAAGAATTGTGACTAATTAAATCCATTTTCCAACATTTTCTTTTTATGAGACAGGATCCTAACTCAACACGAAGAACTAAATCAATGGGATCTAACAGCCAAAATTCGGGATCGAGTGACTCGCAAGAGCTAGATTTGGAGTTGAGATTGTCACTCTAGTACTGTCTCATAAGTAAAAACCATGGATTATGATGCTTTGGCTGTTGTTATACTTCAAGCAAATTGAGCAAGCAACAGGTGATTGATTGGGTTTATCTGTCACATTTCAAAATAAAAGGGGTAAAAATGCAATATATAAATTTGTAAGGGGGGAAATGTTTGATTTTGGAATTTGAGGTGATGGAAGTGAAGTTTTTTTCTCGTAAATTTATCCATCGATCCATAGTTCGAAAGGGTTCTTTGAAAGAATGATCAAACCCGCCTAGAATATTATTTAATTGAATTTGTAAAAAAAACTACTCTATAACAATAAAAAGAAAAAAGATACGCTTGATATGTTTATTTTTTTATTTTATTTTTTTGAGAAAATGATGGTGATGATTTGATCATGTTTCGGTATGTCTGATTTATTTGTCATTAAGCCAACTATGGTACAATATCATCAGTAATTAAATGTTGATTTTGATTGCGTTGGTTAATTAAAAAGATTAAAACTTAATTACAAGCTATAATCGGATTCTTTTGGTCTCTTCTGCTATAAAGTCAATACGCTGCATAAGCAAATGGGCCAATATCTAATACATCCCTAAAGCTTTGTTTAAAAATAAAGTAAACATGCATGTTGTCTAATTATGACAAGAAATGAAATGAAATGAATTTTATTTGTATCCATTATCATAACTTACCAAGAAGAAAGTGTATAAGGTTAGGAGAATCTTATTGTTTAAACTTTTGTTTGTATCCAATTTGTCTATAAACTCATTGATTGAGATTAAGATCATCGATAGATGAGTAGGAAAATTCCAAACGTCCACTGCGGCCGAAAGTTAATTTCAATTGTACGTTGTATTTTATTTATGGTTAATATTAAATTTATGTATCAAATTATACTATAATAAATATATAATAAGAAATAGTATCAAAATACAAGAGAATTTGTTCTAATTCAATAGATAAAGATATATTTATTTTGAAGAAAAAAAACAAAAACTCTAAAATTATCAAACTTGAAAACGAAATTGTAGCCAATATATCATTTTCAATAACGTATTATTCAATCATTTTCTATTTATCATATTTCACAAATCAACTCGAATATCTGCAATTTGTTTAATCATTATACCCATTTTATGATTCCAACTCAAATCGAATTGAAATTTACAAATATTACGGCATATATATAAGACAAGATGTAATCTCAAAAGTTTGGTACAACAAAATCGAAGAGTCATTCTCAAAGCATAGTTAGAGATTTATTTTACCCAATAAATATTAAAAAAATGAATAAATCCATCATTTTATATTGTGTATATATTAACATGGCCAAATCATCCATACCAAAAAAAAACATGGCCAAATCACATATTACATAAGTTAGAATTTAAAGCAGAGATGAGTAGCACATAAAATAAATACAAGCAATATGATGGATAGGAGCGTATATCTAATTAAGTAAGATCGATGGTAGTAATTAAATTAATATATAATTAAGTAAGATCGATGATATATAGTGATTGAATTAATATAATGAGTTTGAGAGATTTTTTAAACGAAGTAATAATTGACGAACTAAAGAAGGCGAAGAAGACATGACAGATGGATGGGTCCCGTCGGTCCAACTCCACGTTCGAACTCTAAAGCCCAGGGCCTGTCGCTTCACGGATTACACGCTTTTTCTTTTAATTTGTTATACAAGTTCCGTGTTACTCACGATTTTTATCATACAAAATGTCATATAACGAGATTATCGTTACATAATAATCATCGGATGAATTATACTTCTTTACATAAGTAATAGAATATATATATATATATATATATATATATTATATAGTATATAAACAATAAAAATATTAAATTTCATAATTAGAAAAAAAAAATAAAAAAATGTGTAACATCTTATAATTTCTTTAATAACATATTTTTAAGTAACAAATAATATTTGCCATATTAGCGCGCGTTACGTGACTAATCCCTATTCTAGGAACAAAAAAACGTGAAAAATATCTTTCCACGTAAATATTATCGTAGTATTATTTTTAGTCGATTTTTAAATATTTTGGACGTCAAGCAGATTTAATATATCACCTCATTCTATTGTCTGTGCATATGAATCACATGCATGAGCTTTCTATCGTCTTCATATATTAACGTACTCAACAATCCAAATCCAAAGACATAACCTTTATTCAGAGAACTACCTGAATCTCCCGTAATCGCCAGCGCGACCGCAATGAAAATACCTACAATCACTCCCGTATTCTATACTTTTTTATGTAATTCTATTTTCAGTTTGATTTTCATAATTTCGTTATCATTGATTAGCTATTATTTTAGTAGAATAATCTCTACCAAAATGTAAACTAAAGTATATAAAAAGGAATAAAAAAATATATATATAGACCAAATTAGAATTAAATAGTGCTGGATAAAACAATATTTTATCTAAATCATGATCATATAACTATTTTATAGATAGTGGTAGTAGTTAGGATTTAGTGGCATATATGTACACACACAGAGAGAGCAGGACAAAATAAATTTATTGGTGACTTTATATTATATAATCAGATTTAGGGGGAAAAAAGAAATTGGAAATTGGAAGGAAAAAAAAAAACAGGAGTTGGTTTCATAATCTGTGGACTTTAAGCGTCACAACCAAACTCTGGAAGAGACTTTTTTGGTCAACTCTCAAAACATGAGTGTGCCATAGAAATTGCAAATGTATTTTTTAAAAATTCTGAAATTACTTAGTTATCATATGTGTAATGAACCGAAGCCGTTACGGAATGCTATCTCTACACACCAATACGAGATTTTTTAGCGTATTTTGTCATCACTCGCACACATCACGGAAAGTATTTCCCATGAGGTCACCCATCCTAAAACTCCTCCAAATTCATCACGATTAACTTTGGAGTTCTCTCGAGATGGACAATCGAAAAGGTAGATGTATCTTGTTGCTATGAGTAGCTCAATCAATTCATTTAATTTATCTTTGACTGTGTAGTCTCATACATACACAACCATCGGATCCCTCTCATTCCGGTGTGTTCGATTCATTCCTATACCACATACCCAGAAACTGACACGTGTGTTCGATTCATTCCTATACCACATACCCAGAAACTTGTCAGGAGCCGTTCATTGTCCATGCCTCTCGCACCGGCGATCACTTCTCATCCTCCTACGATATTCTGGATTGTCAGAATATGTTATTAAGATTTAATACGTAGATATTTTTTATTTTTTTTATTTACTTGTTAAGTTAGCTATGATGAATTATCTTATAATATTTTTTTCATCTATATATTTGAATTACAATACTAAAAATAGTCATGATATCAAAATTTTGCAATGAGAAAAATAGTACCAGACAAATTACTCTCTTTAACTGAAATAACTGAACCGGTCCGAACATATATTTCATAGAAAATGAAAAAAAAAGTATCGTATGTTATCTTTTTTTTATATATATATAATGCCGTTTTAAAATCGTAATCATCATTGAAATTTTAAAATGTGAATATGAAATAAAAGACAAAAAAAAAAAACTATACATCCAAATGGTGTTGAAATCTTTGTTCTCTGTTAGCAAACCACTGAGCTGTTCTTCTCGCGATCGGCAACCACAGCCGCCTCCTCCTTTCCTCTGTCGTCACGTTTCGCGATGAAGACGCAAACGCAAGCGCACTCACGGATGCAATCGCTGTCGAATCGCTGTTATTTTCAGGAATCGCGTTGTTCTTTGTTCCCGTCGCTTGCAAAACGCTGCGTCTTGGGACCACCGTGATTTCAGACACAGATCTTCTTCCTGTCCCAGCTGTTCTCCCCGATTCTGTGTTCCCTGGTTCAGACAGAGGGTTCGGGAATGTCGTGTTCATCGAACTCAGCGTGTTCGCGACCATTCTCTTCATCTCCATCTCTTCCATGATCCGAGAGATTCCTTCTTGCTCCGGGACTTCACTCGCACCAGTCGACGTTCTCATCGGATCTTTCTGTGGTCGATCCATCCACGAGAATCTGTCGCTGGACATCGAATTGATCAGCTCAGAGTTCAAGAACATCAAATCCGATGAACTCACGTTGCTCCAACGACTCTGGAACACGGCATCCGACACGACAATCCTGTGATTGAACCTGTGCATCTGCTTCTCGTTTTCCGAAATCGGTTTTTCCTTGTTACCCATCTTCAGAATCTTCCTGAAACTTCCTCCGATGCTGAATTCTTCGCCTTTTTCTTCCCTTTCGATGCAAAGTTCCAAGCTGGAATCTTCCCTTACCTCGGTCTGGTTCAAGAACCTAAGACTGTTACTGTAGGCGAAGACAGAGGGATCGTCAATGGCGATTCTGTTCCTGCAGAGAGGGCAAGAAGCGTGTTGCTCAAGCCACTGATCGATACAACCGATGTGGAAAGCGTGTCTGCATTTGGGCAGAAGCCTGAGAATCTCTACGTCTTCGAATCTCGACAGACAAACAGAGCACTCCAGTCCATGTCTCGATCCCTTCAGAGCGGAGAATCTAAAAAAGGGCAGAGATTCGATCGCTGTCTTGTCCAAACCGGAGAATCTGGCCGAGTCGTTGACAATCCGTTGACGGGTTTGTCCTTCTCCGACGTCTGATCGGAGATCGCTGTAGCAACATTTGGCGTAGAGGAGAAGGACGAAAGTGAGGGTGAACATGATCGACAAAACTCCGGTGACGACAGCTAAGCTCGGTTCGAAGTTCGCGACAAGCTCGCCGGTTCTGTACGGATGTTCGTCGCCGGCGGGAGGAGACTGACCGGAGACATAACCGGAGGAGACGACAAAAAAGAAGAAGAAGATTGCTTGAGTTGGATTCATCGGTCTGGATTTTCTCGGGAAAGTATTGTTAATTTGTGATGTAACATCGACCTTATTGCCTCTGATTTTCTTTTTTTTATTAATTTATTTTGTTTTAAATGTTAGCAGTTGTGTTCTGTTCAATTGTTTATTTCCTCAGTTGGAGCTATATAGATGTCCATATACATATGATTGAATTTTTCTTTTTTTTTCCCCATAATATATTTGCTTTTCTCGACCATAAACATTACATTAAGACTATAATTATATTTAGTTTTACACAATAAATGACCAATAGAAAGACAACTGATTGCCTGTGGTTGAGTGATTAGTTGAAAAAATAAAATAAAACTGAAATTAGTCACGGTCGAAACCGAGTTAGAAGATATATCATTTTTTTAAATACATGTAACGATCATAGAAATTAGAATTATTTAAATGAAATTGAAGTCATGGGATGAGGCTTAGAAGATATATACACAAAAAAGTCAAAAACCAATGGCAGTAAATCCCCGACAGAAAGAAAAGTCAAAGTTTGCCCTTTTCATGCTTGTTCCGGTGATGGGCTCGTTGCATTATCCCATGATCTGTCACTCTTTTTTTTTAATCTAGACAAATATAAACTAGATTTTGGTCTTATATTTAGTGATAATTCAAATAAACTTTAAATAAATTTGCTAAAGTTTTTTTTATAACCATGGGTAAACACAACCTTAAATGTCATGTATGTGTCTTTCCAAATATAGAAGTAGCATTATATATATATTAAACGCAAATGAAATTGGTCTATAAAATGACAAAAGCCGCATCCCTAATTTTAGCCCTCGCGCGTTACGTAGATTCCACGATCCTTTTTTGCCTCTTCTCATGACACGTTTTTAAGTCCATTACTCGTAAAATGACGTATGGTTAGTTTCATGCAATAATGCAACGAACCATGTATGATGTAACCATATACTATAATTTACAAACTAGATCGAATAAAATCTCATCATATTCATTATTTTATTGACCATGTAACCATATAATTTAAATGACGTATGATTCCACAAAAAAAAACACAAAGTAACATTACACAGGGCGAAGATATGATATGATCAAATATAGTAACACTACATTACAAAGCATACATCTCCCATAACTTGGGAGCTGAAACTGAAACTGATCTCTGAACGAGTACAAGAAGAAAATATCATCACACAACAAAACCCTAAAAGCGATCTACACCAAAAACATAATCTAGGATTTTATACTTAGCTGTGAGCAGAAGCAGCCCTCAGGCCGATTGAAGATTCCGGATTAACGAGCTCTTCGCTGGCGTGCCTCACGAACTCTTCCGGCGAGAGGTGGTGGCCATGGCAGGCGCACACAATCTTGATCTGGTTCGGGTTGTAACGATACGTCACACCAGAGATGGTTCGGCCATGTGGGCCTGAACCTGTGGTGGATACCCATGGCAGATTCGGGAGCGAACCCGAACCACCGAACTTCACGCCTGCTTCTATGCCCAGTTTTATGGCCGAGAACTCGAAGGGGAACGAGGTTTCATCTCCATTTCCGTCTCTTGCCCCGCCTTTTGCTTCTTTGGCTTGATTAGACGAGCCTTCTTCCAAAAAGAAATTGTTTTTAACGGGTAAGTTTTTCGCTTTTCGATTACTGGATTAAGCAATATAGGATGCTTACCTGAGTTTGGCATGCCTCTGTCCGGGTAAGGAGGTCGAGAAGGAGTGACACCATCTTTATCTAATGTCGGGAGCTGAACCGTCGAGTATTCGAAGACAATTGGTAGATTCCCAGAACTAGCGGGTTGCCCTACACTTGTTGCATTACCCGAATCTTTCGCTTGTAAAGGGGAAGGAGAATTCGGGACATCAATCGGATGCAGTGGCAAAGGAACGCTGCCGGTCTTCCATTGACCGATCTTCTTCGATGCATCAGAAGTACCGATTTCGGATTCCGCGACATCTTCATTTTCAGCAGTTGATCCTTCATCCGTCGCTATGGAAATATGCGATGTTTTCATCTTTTTCTCGCGCAGATCAATAGGAGGCACATCCTTCTCGTTTTTCTTCTCTAGGGACAAGAATTTCCTTTTGTTTCCTGCTTCTTTCTGTGTCTCGTCTTCCGCAGAAAAAGGTTTTGCGGAAGCCTCAGCATCAGCGGTAGGAGCTTTGGAGAGGTCAGTGAAGAAATTCTGCGGAGATTTATCCGAATCACTTCTCCTGGAACAAGAACTAGGATCCTGTCTTTGAGAGTTTGACTGAAGGAATTTCTTCAAGTCATCAATCACTTTGGAGCTTATACTTATATCACCTCCTTCTACCTTATGATTGTCAGAGGCGTTACCGGAATTGTTACCCTTATTTTTTCCCGACAACCCACCACAAGAAAGACCCAAGCTGAGCTCGAGCCCGTTATTGTCCTCCATTTCATGGATTGAAGTAACTTAGTGCGGCATCATAGTAAACTTTCTCCTGCTTCATGATCGATCCGAAAGACCTGGCTTTTACAAGTCAAAGTAAATGATAATCAACTCCACTTGAATTGCAACAGCAAGAAACAGAAGTATCCGAGAACAGTCAGAGCATCAACTGGATTCATTAGCTATGTAATCTAAAGCATGAAGATTGTCCCATTGTCCTTACCCCTTAACAGAAACAATCTAAATAGACAAGGAGCCGTAACTGGAAATCCCGGCTGCTAGCTCTTTTAACCGATTGGATTCAGTTCCGTGACAAAAAAAGAATGTCCACAGCTCAAGTTCTTCATCCATTTGAGATTTTTAGTTAAAAGGATACAATTTTTTTTACACGCGTTTGATCTGTTTACAAGAAAGAAGACACTTCCTTGAGCTAAAAGCCTAAAACGTCAAGTTCCAGAGCAATATAAGTTCTAACCACTTTTGAATCCTCTGAATTAGCGTAATCTACTAATGAACAATAAGAACACGATCTGCTGATCTGCCAACTAAAGGGCTTCATAAATCTCAACACTTGCAGAGACAATAATCACGAAATCCGAATCATGACATCATCAGAATTTCCAGACGACTAAAACTCTCCGTATCAAACAAGATAACTTGAACTGATCAGATGAAATCCAAAAAACCCATATCACGTAGCAGGCATGTCCATTCTCTGAAAATCGACCGATTTCATCCCGAACCCCCCCCCCCCAAAGCCTGGTCCCACGAGGAACCCCAAGAGCACAGGAAACGAAGAAGAGAACACGAACCTGAAATTGGGAGCGAGACGATTAGAAGCCCTAGCTCCGCCGTGTGGGTTTTTTACCCAAACAACCCACTTCGGTCGCATCTATTTCACCTGTACACCACCAAAAACATAACACATTTTTTTTCCTGTAAAAAGACGAAATTACCCTTAATGAATCACGATATTTATCCATTCAAAAACAACTTCGTTATTACGACTTCGTAATTAAGTCTAAATATAGTTACAATTGATTCGTAAAAAGGTGGCAAAAAAATTATCTGCCTTATTTTAGTTGTATATCAGTTATATGTTAGTCGTAATAAAGTCGCAAAAAATAAAACGAAAAGGGTATTTCGGACTTTTCCACCCGAAAAATGGGTTAAAATTGAAAAAAATTTTTTTTTTTTTTTTGGTGGTGTACACTGAAATAGATGTGAATGAAGTGGGTTATTTGGGAGATTTTCCCCCGCCGTGTAGCTCCGGAGCAGCACCAGAGATTGGGGACGGATTCAAAGTAGTGCGTCACAATTCATTTTCCTTCATTTTGTTTTTTTTTAATTAATCAATACACGTGTATCTTATGCGGCTTTTAATCTCACGTATAAAATAAATTTGTGATAAATAGATACAGTCTTGGATGGGCCCACCTCTTATGATTATGACTATATAACAGTGAATTTTTATTCCATACTAATTTATGACCAACTATTACAATTTAAAATTAAATGCAAATGTGAAGGTAATAATAAATCTTTCGCGTGCGGTCCGTACGAAGGGACCCGTAACCTATAAAACGACATCGTAGCTTTATCATTAGTTAGGCCCAGCCCAATAGTGGGCCCAAAAACGGAGGACGGAATCACTCAGATAGTTTAAGTGGTTCCACGACCACTGGAGTTACGGTGGTCTCGCTGATCGCAGCCGTCGACAATAAGACAACAACCCTCCGCCTAACCTTCTTAGGATCGGCTGCGAAGCGTTTTTCTTACAAGAAACGGCGCACATGTTTGTTGCGAAACTCTGAAACGACATGATATGCTCGTGGTCGTCCGGATGAGAAGACTCGGGCCTACACGGAGCCCATCCATGGATCGACAAATATGCTCGTATTGTATTCGTAGATGCATCATGTATAGAAAAGCAAAATCAAGGAGTCTGCAATGGTTTCAGTATTCTGGATTGAAGAGGAAGACAAGAACTACGATGGTGTTTTGGGGGTGAATCTGGTCTGATTTCACTTTATTCCCAATTACTCAAAAAATGTACAATTGCTCTCTTCATATATACAGGTTTAGAAGCAAAGAAGGAAAAGACTCAATATTCCTAAATCTACAGATAAGGAAATGTCTTGATATTATTCTTCATGCCAATTGATATGCAGCAACGGAACTATAGAGGCTGATTTGTCTCCTTTCCAAATCTGATCAGAGTAGCGCTTTAGGTGTCATGTCTTCTAACGTCAAGGTTGGTCTGTTTCCATGTTCCTATGCAACGACGTCGTCTCATGCTGGTGTCTTTGAGCCTTCTCTTCAGCAGTCTCCAAGTAATCTTCGGCACTCTCATCTTCATGGTCTTCAACATTCCCCCTCAAGATTGGCCGGCGAAATTCGAGAAGGCCAATCTTGGAGAGACATTTGTTGAAAGAAAAATAATAGGAATGTGAGGAATGGAATGTCGAGAACAAAACAATTAACTAAAACGGTTGTAACTATGAAAGGCAAACACTGCAGGCTTCGGGATTGCTTTACATGCAAGGATCTTCTCTAA